CCCCAAAACCCCAAAACCCCTCTAGATCAAATAAATCATAAAATCAGAGTAATTAACGTAAAATTAAAATTAAAAATCTTCTATTACTTATTCAACTTATAATAGCCATTAAATATATCAGTAAATCTCTCTTATAAATTCTTTCAGGAGTTTTAGGCATCCTGAATAGTTTTAACACATTACTTACACTTTAAATAATCTCTAATACCATAATCATCTAAGTTCACTCCAACTAATCCATTATTGTTTTTGAAAGTCTCAATCATTTGTTCAGCATATTTCTGATTGTACTTAACATCACATATAGGACAGCAGTAATTTTCAACTGCAGCTGCATTAACATTATTTTTTGGAAATGATAATGATATCTTAGGTATGTAATTTTTAATAGTATTAACTGAAGGTATATAACTCTTGAATGCTTTAAACATTCTATTTTTACCTTAACTATTTTTTTCCAGTAGTTTTTTCTCTTCTATTTTTTTAATAAGTTCTTAAATCAACTGTTCATCTTCTTCCTTTTGATTAATAGCAACATCATTTTTTGTTTATTAAAGAGTTTCTTCATCTTTGTCATCAAATGTAGCAATTTAAATTTCAGGCTCATTTTAGATTAACAAATTTTTAACTGGCTCTAATATTTTCTAGGGGATGATTTGATATTCATTTCAAGGTTTTTCATTCTTATTTTCCTCTTCATTATATTTCAATTATACACTTTGATTTGCTTAACTCTGGCCTTAAACTTAATATGAATGTATTTCATGAGCAATTTTATGGTCACTAATTTCAGTTAATCTAAATTTTTTGTTGCAGTAAGGGCAAGTTTCTTGTCTATCTTGAGGTTAATTGATATCACAGGAAGAATAGAGATGCTTTTATTTTACTATGGTATTATTTTGCTTTTCATGATCTTTTAAAACCATTTTTCGTTCCTATTATCCATCATCTCTAAATCAATTTTTAGAAATATGCTATTGAAAGATGCATTCAAAGAATTGAAGATGCTTGGAGAATGTTTATAAAAATATATATTTGATTGTGATAATTTGGACTTACTCCTCTGAATTGAAGGCTTCTACAACCTAGAATTTTTCGTCAAACATGAGTATCCTTAAAATAATGGAAGACTAAATATTATATTTTATTAATATATCAACTTATTTATATTTGGATTTACCACAATTAATAAGCTATGGGGTTTTGGGGTTTTGGGGTTTTGGGG